TCTTGCTTTCGTGTGTGTTTCGTGTGCGTGTGCGTGTGTGTGTGTGTGTGTGTGTGTGTGTGTGTGTGTGTGTGTGTGTGTGTGTGTGTGTGTGTGTGTGTGTATACTGTAGCACTTCGACTTATTATTATTGTTCATATAAATATTTTGAATCTATTTTTATTTCATGCGTAAATGAAGCAACTCTCATGAAATACTGATGTGGATTGTGAACAGACTAATGTCCCAGTATAGAGTGAGAGAGCAGTCATTAGGCTGAGAGAGCTGTACCTCTCTGAGAGGAGCTGCAGATGTCCTGGTGGAGCTTCTTGGCCTCGGGCGATGAGACCTGAGGGTTGGACAGCTGAGAGTAAACGTAGTCTGGGATGGACTTAACAGATGCTCCACTGCCGTTGGTACTGAGGTGGCTGGAGGTGAACTGAAAAAGAGAAAAAAGAGGAATGGTATAATTTTAAAAGATAACATGAATGGCCTCACTAAATACAGCGTTAAATTCCAGCCTACCATTCCCCCCATGGCTTCGACGCGGGACATGGTCCTAGAGTGACCAAATCCTTTCCCCGTCTTCCTCTTGGGTTTCTCCAGGGACAGATTCTGGAACACACCAACAGGGTTACAGCTTCTCTCCAATAACATCGAGTTCTAGAATAGATTCATGTGTATTTGGGGAACTTTATTTTTTTCTCTACCAACTATACTGAACACATTTCCAATTCAGTCCTTATTAATTTGGAACTGGGGATCCACTGTTACATGATGTTATTCAAATCAACATTATCTCAGTTGACTATTAAAAGCATTCTAACTAATTATCTTGCATTAAAACAAAAGACAAATAATCTCAGGCCACTGGTCTTTTTTGGCATGGCACACAGTCGCAGTTGGTAGAGGGTACTGACCTGCATGCTGATTCTCATCTCCAGGTCTGTGTTGGTGATGGGCAGGCCTCCTTCCAGCCAGTGGAGCCTCTGGATGAGCTGGGCCAGCTCCGTCAGCTCCACCTGACAGCGAGCCAAGTCTGACACAAAGAGGGTCAAAGGTCACTAGTTATTAACAGAAACAGCAAAAGAGGTTTCGCATCTATTCCATTGCCCCCTTAGAGTTAGCGAGTGCTGCATTCTCAAATGTTTAATTCTCTGTGCTTTAAAAAGGTTTTTTCCCGAAAAAACAAGAGTAAGAATGTTGGAACAGTAGACCTTACCATGGTTGTTTTGGCAAGTTTTATTTTCAGTACAGCATAATACAATGTGTTTTAAGGTGCTACACTGATGGCAGTTGGTGAAGGGAGCACAAGGCTCAAACATGCCAGGTATATATCCTATCCCTCACAGAGCCTGTCACTGTTGAAAATGATGAAATGAGGCTTGACTCAGATTGCCTCTCACCGTTGGAGGTGGCGTCGATGTCTTGGGTCTGCTGCAGCCACGCTGACACCTTGCTGGTCACCCCTGGGTGAGAGGCCACGGCGGGAGCGGGGCTTCTCATCTCTTGGTGGTAAACTGATGCCGAGCTGGCATAGTGAGGAGGCTGGAATATCCAAGGTATCAAATCAGAATTTAAAACAATTGCAATTTTATTTTCCTATGTTTTGCAAATAGAAAGCTTTCAACATGGGCAGAACTATAAGTAATGCTGGAATTTGCTAGTAAGAGGTGAGGATACAACATATTGGTGGGGAATCCGTTAACAGCTGATGCCATAACACAATCAACCACAAAGCCAGGTGGCAATTTTTCAAGACTGTTAAAAAATAGTAGGGATCGATCGGCCGCCGATTGTATCGGCCAATATTCACTCTCTGCCGATCGATCGGTGCTCTCTATAAATGCCAATCAGGAGAGCCGATAACATGACGTAAAATACATGACACTTATCTCAGTGCGCGGCAAAACATGCTTGCCAAAATGGCTTCATCGGTCTGGCAGTGTTTTAAGGTGTCCGAAAAAGACAATAAAATAGCGGTATGCAACGTGTGTGAAGCAGAAATCCTGCAGCTCCGCCCGCTGTGACGGACCCACACAGTCAGAGTTAGACCTAACACACTTAGCTATTTTATCTACCTCTGGAACAAGCTAAAGTTATACATATATGTATTCTTCACTGTCGGGTCACTAATTACTGGATCAGTGAGCTGCATGAGATACTGACAGGCTGTCAGGAGAGAGAGAGAGAGGGAGAGAGGAAAAGAGAGCGCTTCCGCTCATTTCTCCCGTGTTATTATCCAAAGTTAATATAAACTTGTAATAATGTACTTCATTTGAATGTAATAATTATGTTGGTTGTTGTTTGTGGAAGCGCCAGTCAATGAGCCCATTAACTGAGTTTTAAACATCACTTTAAATGGAAGTCCCCCATAGGCCCCGCCCACTCGATCGGATCGGCCGATACTGATTCCGGCGATCAGCCCCAAAATTGGCTATCGGAGCATCCCCAAAAAATAGAGTCTGTTTATTTTCATTTAAATGTTTGTTGTTGGTTTTTACTGTGACATGTTGGGTGGGACTCTGACCGTGGCTCTGTTGGACTGGGCTAGAGAAGCCATGGCGGGCAGAGTGCTGGGGCCCATGGAGAGAGCGTGGAGGACGCCATGATGGACGCTCATCGCCTCGTTCTTCCTGAACACACGATGTGCACACAGCTTCGTCAACCAGATGTAGAAGAGGTCATGGCTCTTTGCCTAACCAGGAGGAGAGGAGAAGCAAAATACAGGGAATACAAAATAATTACAAAACAAAAAAATAAAGAAAAAAGGGAAAAGCCTTCTTTGGTAAAGGGAATATAATCCTTTTTCTATAAAACCTGGTCTATTTTCCAACTGTACATCCAGAGCAGAGAGATTCCTCTACACCAGCTTGGCCAGACCCTCCACTCAAGAGAATAACTTCAAATTATAAAAAAAAAAGCCCAATATCCTTTTTCCTCGTCTCATTTCCCCGCTTTTCTATACTCAGTCTTATTTGCGTTTCTTTTTCATCACGTGGAAGTATAACTTATGTTTATTGTACAAATAGTGCTTGACTACCTAGAGCAGGGGTAGCCAACACGGTGCCCGCGGGCGACGAAGGGCATGTTCTAAAAATAGCTCGCCAAGCAAATCCAAAATGTAAAAAAATGCACATAAGGAAATGTAATTAAAAGAATCTACCCTATGCATAAACGAAACCTCAATCATAGCGAACGCTATATCTATCAAATTCCCCTCCTCCCCCACACAATGAATATCGACCAATCACGTTCTTGCTTGATTTGCGGGACCAGCGTTGCAGTCGGGAAGAAAAGCAATGTGGAGTGGCACCTCACCGCTTCATAAGGAGTGTGACCGTGATTTTCCTTCTGGCAGAATTAACACAACAGCCCCATTGAAAAAAAGCCTTGCCAGCCTATACAACACATGATGGGCAGAGTTTTAGTGTGTGTGTTGCAACTTGCATATATATTTATTGCACTTGACACACACACATGGCGTAATTTCCACTGGGGACAGGGGGGACTTTTCGAAATCCCGTCTGTGTCCTCCCACTTTACAAATATGTTTATTATTATTTTTTATCGCAAGCCTTCATCGCCACGGAGGAGCACACAGCCTCTGTGAGCGAGCAAGACAGAGAGAGAGAGAGAGAGAGACAGAGAGAGAGACAGACAGAGAGAGCACACCTTTATCTATTTAATATAGATAAAGTAAGAAATCATTCTAAGGTGTACTATAGGACAGTAAAACAAAAAAAACAGTTTAAAAGGGGAGTGATTAGTAAAATATGCATAAATAAAAAGAAAGAATGCTAACTAGGTAACATAAGATAAGAATAAACAAGTTTAAATGATTTGTTATTGGTTGTGATCATATTCTAAAGATGTTTGGATTATTGAATAGTATACAGCTCCCTTTCATCTGAGTGTTGAGAGCTGTATCCATGAATTCATTTTGTGCTCAAAGTGCACCAGATTGATGCATTTCACTTCAACATTTTAAAAAAAATATCGGTTAAAGGTAAGCATATCATAATGTTAAAATGTTCTAATTATATACACTGCAAAAAAAGAAAAAGAAAAGAGGAGTAAAAGTAGCTCACGACTTGTTTTATTTTTTGAAAGTAGCTCTCATCCTAAAAAAGGTTGGAGACCCCTGGTCTAGAGCTACTGTTTATAATGCCTTCATTTGTGCAAAGAAATGCCATATCACAAGTGATTATATAGCTTTTTTTACAATTAATTAAAATAAAACAAAAAAATTATAATATTCTCGGTTAGCCAGCTGGAAGGCATACTCTAAGGCAGGGGTTGGGAAGCTTTTTCCTCTCAAGGGCCATTTCAATTTTTCCAACATCCTCCGAGGGCCGTACAAATTATTGACCTCTGCTTAAAAATACTAAAATCACAGCCCATTCATTTGGCCTTTCTTTCATGCTGTGCAAAGAAAAAGCAGCCTCTTACTCCAGATATCTTACCATGACTCGCGTGCTATGCATGCATGTGCACGGTTGTGGCATAGCTAGCTAACTAGATGCCAATAACAACAAAGTTATTGACTGTATGATCAGTATGACAGATGAACAGATGCCACTGGGCTTTCAACTAAAGACACAGCCACGCAAAAACTGCGGCATGTGTACGGCTGCTTATGGGTACTGGAATTTCTGAAGTACCAGAGCGGCGTTCTGGTGCCCTCCGTCAGAACTGCACCCCTGTCAGACGAGACATATACCACGTGATGACACGTTAGGCTCGTGTTGTGTTCAAGGACCCTGACCTTGGCCAGGAAAAACAGGCACTTGCTTGTTTAAAGAGCAACTTCCAGGTTAAAGACACCTGTGAATAAATGTGTAGGAAAATGATGAATACACTAGATTTTCCAAAAGATATACAGAAATACACACTACAGTGACATCTGGCGTCGTTTTTGTAAGAAATTTTCCCTTGCGCATAAAAAAGCCTCGGCACGTGACCTCCCGCGTGTGACGTAACATGGGGGAAACAAGGGGGAGAGCGGCCGGTGTAACGTATTAATAAACATGGATCTCAATGCTAATTTCGACACAGAAGGCACAGAAGAAGTTGAACATGAATATTCGAATGCATATGACGGACCACAACCTTATAATTATGAGCCTGCTAGGCGTCCAAGAGACCAGGAGCAGCCAAGGATTAGAAGAAATAACGGCCATCGGAGAGAAATTGAGCTGTGATGTGAGGAGAACCAGTGGCGAACTGGGCAGCTATCTTGGTGAGTGACTGGCGTTAGCTACAGAGTGTTAGCTAATGTCACATCACAACACTGGAAGTTAGCTATGATATATCAGGCTATAACTAACGTAGCATTGATAATATAGTAACGTTACATGCAGGACTGTTGATACTGATCCATAAC